TTCAAGTGGCAGAAAAATGCTTTTTGTTTTCTGTTTTTTGGTCAGGCACCCTGAGGCAGGTCTCAGCTGGGAGCAGCAGGACGGAGTGATGGAGGAGTTTTAAAGAGTCCTCAGTGATGGATGCAAACTTTCTCTTTTCTTCACTTCAATGCATGTTGGGGGTCGGGGGGGATTGTAGTGAAGATGCTGTATCAGAATGTAATATATAGGTTGTGAGGGTGTGCAATGCCCGGGTAAAATAGCCGTGTCTGTTGAACATTTTTCTCATTTTGTGACTTTCTAACCACAAACTTTTAAGTGCTTTTGCTGAATTTATGGGCCGAGACAAAAGTATACTGTGGACCTCTGGTATTTGCAGAGGTTATGGACCACAACCACCTACAAGAAGCTAAAATCCTTGAATAATTGAGACTCCCTTTAAAAATGCTTATAACTGCCTATTTTGTTAGTTCAAACACCTTAATATGCATCAATACTCATACATACTAACTGTTTTGGCTCTTCTACAGAAGCTACAGTCTTCCTCACTTCTGCTTTTATTCTTTCAAATATTTCAGATATTCTCCATGAAAAAAATCTGCAAATAGGTAAATGTGAAAATCAAACCACATAGGTGGATGGGGGTCAGCTGTCATTTTAAAATATAGGGACATTTTGGGAGATTTAATTAAATAAAGCACCTCAAAATGTGTGTGACAAATTGTATAGTTTTTACTTTTGCATGGCACTGTTTTGCAAAATTAAAAAGTTCTACTTTTTTTTCTTTTTTTTTTTTAAGAAGAAACATTGTTTGTGGATCTTTTAGTTGAGCCTTCCCACAGATTGTCTGCTGGAGAGCTTTTATTCCTGACCTGCTCCAGCACCAGCAACTCCAAAATGGAGAGGTCCAGAACAGATGTGGCCTGTAACTCCTACCGAAGGCCATGTACTGGAACCTTAAATAATGTAAAACCTTGATTGGGAGGTGCCGACTGTATACTGTAACTTCCCATCTTAAATATCTCCAGGGACATTTCCGGGTTTGCACAATCCTCGTGTAGCCTTGTGGATATTCTGTGGATTTCCCTGCTTCCTCAACAACTGAAAAACATCAATTTAGGAATGTAAATCGTGTCACTCTGTGGTAAATTACACTCAGTAACAAAACCTGTCTAGAACGAAGCAAGACACCTGGAAGAAATGCTCTGATTTGAATCCAATTTGGTGTAGATGAGAGCAAACGACAGAAAATGGAAGACGGTTCAGATTAGATGAAACTAGCACATCTAAACTGGTGCCAAGGGACACGTAGTTCTGATGAGGAATCATCAGATTGAATATCATTCATTTGGGGCTTTTAATTTATTTGGACTATTTTTTTTTTAATCCACATTGCATGTAGCTATAAAGCTTTTTAAAAAGAACAAATGTGAAGCAAGTTTGAATTTAATATGAATTTCCTCTCACCCCCACAGGTTGTTTAAATTTTCTTCCTATCTTTGTGGCAAGAAAAAAAAAAAAAGTCTAAGTCTCATCTGATAAAACATTCCTCCAGAATGTATTTAGCTTGCCAAGCAATTGGTTACTGTTGTGGCCCAATATTTACTTTTAGAAATTAAGTTACATCAAAGGGTTATCACACAGAATCGTTAAACTGCCATTGCTTTGAAATAAATTCAGTCACATTATAATGAGATAACAAGATACACAACTCATAAAAATGGGTTTGTTTTCTGTTTTTAAGGAGATATAAAACTCAGTATGTAATTTATATCTTGCTAAAACCAAAATATGTCCTTGTTTAAATAAGAAAAGTTGCAACAATAAAACAGCAACAAGCTTTTTGTTTGTGTTTTTCTTTAGCATCCATATGATGATGTTTTTTTGTTTGTTTGTTTTTTTTTTTTTTTGCCTACTTCATGTTGCCAAGCAGGTTCCGGTAAAGTAAGTTTTTGATTCTGCAGGCCTGGGTAGTGAAATTTTCACCTAGTCGGGCTATTTTTATTAGGTATTGAAATGTGTTTGATATTCCCAAATATATGGCTGTAACAAAAGAGCCAAAGCATAAGAAATGTATACATGGACCAAAACTTTTTCAAAGCATTCTCTGATCTCTAGCGCCCATTCTAGATGAGACATGTCACCACAAATCCAGCTATTTTCATACTCACTACTGATCTGCATGTGGAACATTCAAATCAGACCACTCTGATGTTCAACTGTTTCGAATGGCGAGCATATCACTAATGAGGAAAACAAGAATAAAGGCTTCTGAGAGATGAGAAGCCTCCCTTCACCTCTCCTAGAAGCTGTATGACCTTCCAGTCATGTGGAAGAAGATATCGTGTCATTGAATCATGAACAAACCGCCATGTGCAACAGCTTCATTTCACAGGCAGTGAAGCTGCTGATTCCCCAGTTAAGATTCATTTGGATGAAAAGAAATGGAAAGCAACAAATGCAATAAGTAATTTTATTATAAATAAATAGCAGTGGATGTTTTTGATAACTTTATGTGTTGCTAATTGTACACTTTTTTGTCCTTTAGGGTTCTGTTTTACCCTGTAGTGACACTTTGTTGCTATAGGATTGGTTTAACAATTGTGCTATATTAGCATTAACGCTCCATAAATTGATAAAGTGGCAATAAAGTTTCTGTTTTGATAGAAAAGAGCAACTTCAAATCATATGCACCTTTGTGCTGTAATCCTGTTCCTTAGGTTAATTTTTACAGGATTTATCCATCCAGAGGACCTAATTCTGCTCAGAAGACCTTCCAAGGATTTATAGTTACACATTATTCGGAGTGTCCTGAAATACTCAGGCTGTTCCCTTCTAAATGGGCTCACATTGTGAAATTATGGGCCAGTTTCCTCGCTGGTTGGGTGGTTTAATTTCCGTCTGCGTAGGACCTCAGTCATACATCATCCCTTTTTTTCTGTCCTTGATTTTTTTTTCTCTGTCCAGTAAAGCAGAAATCCCTTGAAAAGTGCAGTGCTGTGTCCAGTGAAAATAGTTATGACCCTCATCAGTGCACACACCCGGGGCTGAAAGCTCTCCGATACACGTTTCATGTCTTTTCTGAGCTCTCGCTGCATTTCACAATTTAAACACACTCTTGAAAACATGAAGCCAAGAAATTTGGAAGCGCAGCTGGGTCTCTGTTGTTGTCTCAGTTGACAGATATTTATACATGCTGAATAAAAAAAAGACTCATAACCTTTTTTGGTGTTTCTGAACTTAAATCAGGATTTTTTTTTTCTTATTTTAGGTTATTTAGAATAATTAAGGCTATTTCTGTTTGCTAAATGTCAGAATAACAAGAGAAAATGTTTGATTACATTCTTAAAACTTTGAGTTTATTAGACATTTTAAAAAATGTTGTAAACCCCAGATGACAATGTGATGGCTTTATAGGCTCCTTATCCTGCAATGTTTGAGTACATTTCAGAAATGAAGTATTTTTATTATGGAAAAATGAACAGAAATGAGCCAACATCTGAGGAGGAGGACATGTACAAGAGTCTTGTTCGTCCTTGGATACTATTTCCTGAAGGTACCATGTTCAAATAATTATATGCAAAAAAGCACCAGGAGAAAGTCCAGCCATAATGAGGTAAAAGGTTCTGTGTCCTGGAGATGAATATGTTTTGGTGTGAAGTGTGCGAATCAACCCCAGAGCACAAGCAAAAGAATCTTGTGAAATGCTGGTGGTAGCCGATAAGAGAGAATCATTATCCACGAGGCCTGCACCAACACGGGCTGAAAGGACACTCAGAGTGGAAACACTGCAACATAGCAAGTCAGACTACAGTTTTCAAATACACATGAATCAAAAAACATAAGTTCTGGACATGTCCTGTAGTCCGATGAAACCAAAACAGAGCAGTTTGGCCAAATCTAATGTTATTAGATTGTGAGTAAAACAGGGAATTATGCAAGCTTGAGAACACACTCCGAACAGTGTAGTACAGAGGTGGCAGCATTATGGTGAGTTTGTGTTTTACTGCAGCAGGGACTGACAAGTGGACTTTACAAGATATATGTCATAATGAGAAAAAATGTAATAGGTCTTTTAAATAGACACTTGAACCTAAATAAGCATACAAATTAGCTACAAATTAGCGACAAAAAATTAAAGTATTATGTATTTTCCAGGCACATGGTGCCATTTTATAGCACAGTCGAGTAACTATGTTTCCTTCAGTTGTTATATAAAAGTTTTATCAAAGATGACTTAAAAGAATTTTGACTTTGCAATTTAAAGCCTTGAAATTGAGTCTCTGTCTCTTTAAGAAGCTGCTGCTCTTTCCAAAACTTTGCCTTTACCGCATCACCAGAATACTTCTCCATTCGGACTTAACAACATTCTCAGAAGCGCTGCACTGAGAAGAAGTTTGTATGTTCAGTAAATCTCCATTGTTTTTTATATTAAAATGGGGGGGATGAGTAATTTTGAACATTTGATTCATCTACACCACACGTTTGATAATTTCTATCAACACTTGCTTTTTTTCAAACTAAAACATTTTTTCTTAAAGCCTTCATTGTATAGTTTCCTGTTCTCTTACAAGTTGACTGAAAAAAACTTTCCAGCAACTGTTGTCGCTTGTTATCATATTGCTAAAAATTTTTAATAAAAATTAAATAAAATAGGAAAATAAGACAAATAAATATTTATGCATGTCCCATAGATGCTCCTGAAAACATGTTTGGAGAACTTCCCATTAATCATCGTGGGGAGTGGGGGGGCGGGCATTTCATGAAATTTCCCTGTACAATTTAATATTTTATGTCTCCTTCAGACACTTGGAGTACACAAAGCAGGGATGTCCTGCTTAATGAAGCCGAACGGTTTTTCCTCAGTTATGACACAGATATTGCGGAGAGCTCCGCGGCTGCCTCCAGGTTATTGTCATCGCTCTGTCATCTCATATTTTGTGTAAAACGTGCGTGCCCTTGTGTGTGTGGTGCGTGTGCACGTGTAAGCGCTGGCCAGGTCTAGCGTGGAGAGCTGATGGCGCCCGCCCGCGCGCGTGCGCGCAACCCCTTCCTCCAACAGCGCGTGTGCACGAGTGTCCGCATAGCCGCCGCCACCGCCGCTTCTGCTCTCCGAGCGCGCAGAGCCATCGCCAAACTTTGATAAGCTGAAACCGTCAAGCAAAGGAGGAAATAATATTTTTTCTTTTTCTTAGAGTACAGAGTCCCCCGCTAATTTTGTGTGACAAAGGTGAGTAAGTCTCGAGAATTGTGAATAGATGTGATTGTGTGGTGCGTTTTTCTTTTCTCCGATTGACTTAATTTCTGTTAGGTTAATTTTTGATCCACAAGTGTCTCCTGAATCAAAAGGTTTTAGTTCAGATCGAGTATTTTGCATTAACATGCTAAAGTGCGTGCTTTAAATAAAATAAAAAATAAAAATAAATGTTCCGCATGGTTAGAGAGATTTGGCCAGTTTTTGCGCATCTCTGGCATTGTCGCGCCTATTTAATTTTAGATCCCACTTTCTTCTTCTTTTCTTTTTCTTCTTCTTTTGCTGCCCAGCTTGAGAATACGATCTGGACATGGAAAACACACCAGTTGAAATTTTTAAAGAACAGAACAAGTGCCTGACCGGGCTGCTGGAAGACTGTCCGGTGAATTCCTCGGTTTGGCTGTCCGGAGACAGCAGCAATGTGACCCGCGATGATGAGAGCTGGGAGCAGGAGAGCATGTCCCCCATCATCCCCATCATCACCGCGGTGTACTCTGTGGTGTTCGTGGTCGGCTTGCTGGGCAACTGCCTCGTCATGTATGTGATCATCAGGTGAGCTCATGTTTCAGACGTTCATTTTGGTTTGGAAAAATGAAATAATAATAATAATAATAATAATAATAATAATAATAATAATAATAATAATAATAATAATAATAATAATAATAATAATAATATCATGGTTTTATTACAGTGAGACATGGAGGAGGGATCAGATGGAAGCTGAATAAATTGGAATACCATTAATCTCAGTAATTCACTTCAAAAAGTAAAACTCATTATAAAAAACTATTAATTTAATTTGAATAATTGCAACTTAGGGTTAATGAAAATGCATAATTTAGTGTCTTAGAAAACTACAATATTACCAATAATAGATTATCTTTGGTACAGAAATGTTAGTCAGGTGAAAAGTGTTTTCATGTACTGTGCCATACATATATACTCAATACTTGGACTTGAATTGCTGCTTTAATGTGATGTGGTTTGGAAGCGATCAGCCTCCTGCTGATGAGGAGCCCAGGTTGCTTTAATGGTGTTTGTTAGCTTGTCTGTGTTGTTGGCTCTGATGTATTTGATGGCTTTGCTTTTGTAGCTTTTTTTCTTCCACTCAACTTTCAGCTACTTTGCATTACTGTGTGGACAGCCACATTTTATCTTTAACAATGCGGTCGCTGGTGACCCTTTTAGTGGAGGGCATCATTGACTGAATGTTGGACATCTTCCAGATAAGTTCAGAATTTGGTGGCTTTCATTAGCTGTAAGCCATACTGATTGGAAACATTTTGGGAAACATTTTTCACTATTCTACGGAGGCAGATATTTTATTGATTAAAATGAGGGTTGTCTCAACATCTATGCTGTGGCGTTTATAGTGAGTGCAAAACAGGTCACCAGTTTACAAATGAACTCTAATGATCAATATTTTTGTGTCTGTTATGAATAAATGCAGAAATACAAAATATATAAGCAAATGTATTCACAATGAACAGTGTTTTCTGGATTTGATAAAGGCGTGTAGAACACATTAGAACATAACATTTTGAAATATTCAATAATGTTATTTTCAGTGAATAGTTTTTATAAAAAGTTTTTGTAAAAATTTGCTTTGGGGTACAGGCGTACCCCAAGGCTCAGTCCTTGGTCCTCTTTAAAAGTTGTGCATAAGAAAGCATTACAAATGATTTTTTTTTAATGCCTTTTTTTTCTTTTTTTTTTTACTTGCTGTAACATTAAATTCCCTTTGAGACATAAATAATCCTGAACCTGGATTAGCAAAGGCAATGAATGTTAAAGTGTAAAATGATTGTTACGATCTAACACTTTTCCTTCCTCACGCAAATAAACCAACACTAAGCTAAGTATTTAAATGTTAGATCATTTTTACTTTTTTCATTGTTCCCTGTGATGTTATATTTAATAAATGATCTTATAATTTAAATTTTGAAAGACACATTTTAGTAACAACTCAAGCATGTATTTATTAATTTGCAGCAATGTTGATTCTCTGCAGAGTGAAATCAGAAACATTTGAAATCTTTACATAATTAGATGGGTTTGGCCATCGCAGACAGAATGGCATTTAGGTGAGGGAAAGGTTAAGATGTGTGTTGTCAGTTCCAATTCAGCAAAAAACTTGTGAAGCACAACTGCACTGATTCGATTCTGCCTCCTACAGAGACAGAAAAGAGCTTGTTTTATTAATCCAATAACTCTCAAGACCTCCAAAATGCAGCAACAGTATTAAATAAATCCTTTAACGTCAGGTGAATGGGATTTTAATTACAAGTGGAACTGGTTCCGTTTACTCACATAGATATCCTGCTTCTCATTGGACATTATTTATGATCTGTGAAGGTGACAAATCTTCCTTTTATGTAATGTGAAAGGCAGACGTGCCACACGGGATGTTTCAGTCCGTAGACAATTACCGAATGTGGGATTGATCGCTCTTACCTGTAATTGGAGGAAAATCTTATCACGTCGGTTGCAGAAAAGATGTCGTATGATGGAAATGCTCTGTGGAGGGGCAATTTAACTGAAGGGAAAGAAAAGGTTTCATGGTGACTAAGTGGAAACAAAAAAAAATAAATTACGCTAATAAATGAGAGTCACAAAAATGTTTTGTTTCATGTCTTTCCTGTCTGGAATTAACATTGCAAGATATTTTTGCACGTTAACTTTGGGTCCCTTTTTTATAATCCAAACTGTTGTAAATAAGTCACACCAGGTCCTGTTCTTTAAGTAATTTCAGCATTTTTGAAACGGAGAAGGAATTTATTTTTTTTTTCCTCATGTAAATAACTTCCTAAAAAAAAACTTTCCTGATAAAAAGAAATTTAAAAATTTAGAAAAGATTTAGATTTTCTGCTGGTAACTCATTGTTTGTATTAAGTTGACTTAAAGGCTTCTAGGAAGTTTCTAAACAACAAGCTGTAAGATTTAGATAATTCACCCAATAGATATCTGGGTACAGTCAGTTATTTTCTCTGTCTTGAATTCCACTAATCAGACATTGTTCATGACAATATGGAGTATTTGTTACGGAGGCTGTTGAAAATACTGACTGTCTTGAGCAAGGTCAATATTTTATGATAATGGCAAAATAATCTGTAAGACCATCATAAATGCTTTTGAGTTTTTTGAAGCAATTGAAAATTAGAGTACCAAACGGCTACTTTTCTAGCTTCCTGTGGCAGCCATCTGTGCTACGTAGAAGATACGAACATCTCAGACTGGAATCTACTGTAATTGTTTGCTCACCTAATTTTCAAATGCTATAAGGGAATTACAGTTCTTAACTTTTAATTTCTACCCAGGAGTTTTTAGTCATTTGGCAATCTTTGTAGGTATTTTGTGAAGAATATTTCAAATGTACATAATTCCTTACCACGTCTAATAAGTGGTTCTCAGAAGTATTCACATCACCTCCTCATACAAAAAACAGATTGTGGAAAAAAGTTGAAGCGAAAAATCGACATTGCTTTTCAAGTACATTTCTGTATAAAACAAGTCCACAAACTGGAAAATTGTTTGTCGACTCTGCACTTTCTTTTGTTGTGCCTGCTCCTTAAAATGCTTCTTGTGCTGTCTCGTTTCACTGAGCTTTTTTTGCGGCACCTTTTGGTGGGTCGAACGGACATCTGCCTCAGTTTGTCCCAGAAAACCCGAGTGACAGCACCGTGCCATCTGTGAACCAAACCCAAGGGCCAATTCAAAGAACTGTATTCTAAAAAGTCTTGTTCATTAGACAAACAGGAGTGGACTGTCTATGCGTGTTTTAATGAATTTTGTTTTTCTGCTCTGTGTGAATAAGGTCAGGCATTTGAAAGTAAACTGAACCTCTTTCCAGGGTATGTCTTAAATCTAGATTAGAATTGGAACAGCTAAATGTATTTCCTTTTGTGTTTCTGTAAGTTTAATGAGCTCTGAACAACCAATAGCATTTCATTCTTACATTATATTGCCCTGACATTCATTCATTATTCCAAATAGTCGTTCTTTAATTTTGTAGTCAGTAGAAATAGTAATATCTGCATGCACAGGAAACATCATTTCTCAGAGTATGAAGGACAAGTTTTACAAAGTCAAAACAAATGGATCTATGTAGTCTAAATGGAGTAAGAAAATATGTTAATTTCATTGATTTTTCTGTCCAGAATTTATGAAAATACTGAACTACAAAGATGGCTTTGGTGCACAGCTGAGAAACATTTTCTCTTAGTCTGAAATGAAAGTAGGAATGGATGAAATGGAAATGGTTTGAACTGATCCAGACCTCTTTGGTTATAGTGCAGTCTCTAAGTTTGAATGGGAAAGTTCGGGAGTTATACGTTTCCCAGTTCCAATATGGCTGCTGCGCCTGGCAATGTTTTTAAAGTTTATATATATATATATATATATATATATATATATATATATATATATATATATATATATATATATATATATATATATATATATATATATGAGGTTGTTCTCAGATCCAAGCTGAACAGAAGCCCAAGCGAACCCCGCTACAGAAAAAGTGCAAACTGTCTCTTTAAATAAAATGATCCCCACCAAAATGTGGTGATTTTTTTCCCCTTTTGGCCGAATCTAGCTTTTCCATCAGTAGCTCTACTCTCGACTTTTGTTTTAAAACCTTAAATCAAGCCGTATGGGTGAACTTTACTGAAAACGCCATCACAATTTAATGAAGCTTAAACAAACCGATTACATGAGGTCTGCAGTGAGCAAAGCACCATACATGACAATGAAGTGTGAGTCAGGCAAATTGTATTAGAGATTCAGGAAGGATTTCTGGGTTAATGCACACTGTTTAATACTTAATGAGAAAAGAGGAGAGGTCTTCCACAGACAAACGAAAGCAATAAGATGCTGATGATGCTGTCTGACTGAACGGCTGGCTTTGAGTCATGTCTCATCAGGACAGCCCTGTGTTCTGCATGTTTAACAGATACACAAAGATGAAGACAGCCACCAACATCTACATCTTCAACTTGGCGCTCGCAGACGCTCTCGTCACCACCACCATGCCCTTCCAGAGCACCGACTACCTTCTGAACACCTGGCCGTTTGGGGAGGTGGTGTGCAAGGTCTTCATCTCCATCGACTACTATAACATGTTCACCAGCATCTTCACTCTCACCATGATGAGCGTGGACCGGTACGTGGCGGTGTGCCATCCCGTTAAAGCCCTGGACTTCCGCACACCCATCAAAGCCAAGATGATCAACGTCTGCATCTGGATCCTGTCCTCGGCTGCAGGGATACCGGCTTTTGTTCTGGGGGGAACTCAGACAAACAGCGGTGAGGAAATGCTTTCACTCCTCATTAAACTTGCAGTCTTGTTTTCCAAGCACTTAAGGTCCTCTGTGAAATTTGCTGAAGGGATTTTAGGAGCAAACAAGTGATCTTTTATTTGTTAGTAGCATTGTCTGAATACACTTTCCCACACTACAAATCTGAAACAAAATTGTATAAGGAAGGAAAAAGGTCAGAAGCTACACAGATAATTGCAGCATTTTTTTTTTTTTAGTATTTTCTAAGAAGTTAAAGAAAATTTGCATTTCAATTAGCTCCTAGCCATAATCATGAAAATGAACAAAGATCAATTCTTAATGATATATATGTCATTCTGCATTATTTCATTTTTGAGTTACAATATTTAAATGATTTATCTATTCAATGATATTTAATTTTATTAGATATAAGCACACATACAATGGGCTCTAACTCAATTACACCTTAAACTGGCCCTGATAGATATTGACCTCTGACTAGTTTTTAGGTTATACTGAAGAGATAACAAATTGTTCCCAACTGAGTGTATGTTTCATTCATAACAGAGCGGTGAAAGTGGAATTTCATTTACTAACAAATAAAATCCTTTCTTGTTACTAAATAATCCCTTTCTTCGTCCTTTCTCTCTGCAGACATTACTGAATGTGCCTTACAGTTCCCGGAGCCGTACGCCTACTGGGACACGATGATGAAGATCTGTGTGTTTGTGTTTGCCTTCGTCGTGCCTGTGCTCATCATCACCATCTGCTACACCCTCATGGTCCTGAGACTGAAGAGCGTCCGGATGCTGTCCGGATCACGGGAGAAGGACCGCAACCTGCGGCGCATCACGCGGCTGGTGGTGGTGGTGGTCGCCGTGTTCGTGGTCTGCTGGACGCCCATCCACATCTTCATCCTGGTCAAGGCGCTTGTGAGCGTACCCGAGACCACCGCCATCATGGCGGCGTATTTCTTCTGCGTGGCTCTGGGCTACACCAACAGCAGCCTCAACCCCATCCTCTACGCCTTCCTGGACGAGAACTTCAAGCGCTGCTTCAAGGACTTCTGCCTGTCAGCCAAACTGAAAGGGGACAGGGCGTCCGGCAGCAAGAAGGTCCCCAGCACAGTCCGGGCCGCCGCTGTTCCCCTGGAGAACCCAGACGGGACTAATAAACCCACCTGACTAGCGGTGGAGCTGTCTTCAATTTCCCACATTGGAAAAGAAGACTCGCATGATCTGGGCTTAACGCACATCACTTCAGTGATGTAGACTTACTCCTCTGTGAAAGCTGATCCGCCTCTTGTTTTTAGAAACACCATAAGGCAGAGCCAAGCTGCCAAGATAGATCAAAATCTTTCACTTAAAACCACATGAAAGTCGTCTGTTTGGCAATTTCATCCTCTTTGGTCTTAAGATCTTGAAGTTAATGTTTGAATTTACAGGTGGATTCAAAGAAGACAGATAAAAAAGTGGATGAAAGTTATCTGTAAGGAGAATACAGTGGAGCACTAGCTATGTTTATGAATTTGCTGGCCCTTCCTCTCTCCCCCAACAGCCTTACATGTCTAAGAGTTTTTACAAATGTTCATTCATTGTTGGAGATGACAAACTTTAAGATACCACATTTATTTATTTATTGTTACATAATCGGAATCTCCTTCAGTCACTCATGGCACATTTTTTAAAATCTTTCTTTTGTTTGTTTTTATGCGTTAGCCAGATATCATCTTTGGGGCCCCCAAAAGGGGTTGCACTTAAAAAAAAAAAAAAAAATCTAGAGACACCTCTGGCAGTCTTTAGAAAACCATCTAAAAAAATTAACTCATAGGAATTTTCAATATGTTTGCATAATATCAAAGTATTTAGAAGGTGAAACACTTATATTATGGCTTAAAGTCAGTGACGACCCAAGTTTCAACTTTTTTGTTTGTATAATGTTTTTTGAGAATGGATTAATTACACACAGACCTATTTCGGGAGTTATTTCAGTTTGTTTTGATAAAGCAAATGGAAACCCAACTTTATATTTATTGCCAAATCAGAACATCACAAAGGTCACTTTATGGTCTACATAATCATGAGGATTACTGCTCACTTGAACGGAAGGGTAAGCCAAAAAAACCTTATTTCTAATAAACTCCTCTGAGACATAAACGAAAAGCTGAGTGGAAGGAAAAAGTGCGTTAGAGCAAGATTCCCATGTGACAGAGATATCCGCAGCCCCAGCCTGTGGTGAAAGAGCCGTCACACACAGACGCATTCAGGACATGAACTTCAGCTTTCACCATTTTTGTGTTAACGAACCCCTGAACCAGGAATGTCTCCACTTGAAGCCTGAGTTGCTGGACTTTAATCTGCCTGGACTTTGTGTCTCTCCTCCTCCAAACTCTCGAGACCTCAATTTCCAAATGAGTTGCAAAATTTACTTTCATCTAAGAAGAGGACTTGGACTACTGAGCAATAGTCCTGCTTTGGCACAATGAATTCAACAGTTCATGCTCTGATACTTCTGTGTGCAGAAGCGCTTGAGTCTACCTCAACACTGCAGTTATTCGTCGACCTTGCTCTCCTCCAGTTTTTCTTCCACTCAGTTTTACATTAATATGCTTTCATACATTCTGTGCACAGACATCTTGTTTAACTGTTTTTGGTTTATTCTTCTTATGGAGGACGTCAGTGGTTGTCTAATGGACAATAGTCAGGTCAACTGTAGGCCCACTTTAACATTTCTGTTTTAAAAAGCCATTTTATTAACGTCATGTAAAACTTGAATTGGGTTTTTATTTGTTGTAAGCCACGATCGTCAAAATTGACAGAAATCAGGAGATAAAATATATCACTCTGTGTGTAATAAATCTATATAATATATAATTTTCAGTTTTTTATTTATAAATCTGGTGAAGGATTTTTTTTACTCCTTTATTTAGATGCATCTTTATTTAGATGCATCTGTTGATCCATTTTTTTGTAGCAAAAATTTAAAAAGTGCTTTTTTCATAATTGCTCATCTGTTAAAAAATCTGCAATATATATATATATATATATATATATATATGTCCTAAAAAAACAAACAGGTGACTGATAATTATGACCACTGCTAAATATGTCCAAACTTCTAATTTTGATTTCCTTCAGTGAGTCTAATATTTGCCAGCAGTGCCTTCAACAGTCCAGGATAACATGATTGTCTTATCGATGTGAAGAATGACTGGAGCCAAGCGACAAGTTGTGTTCAAAAGATTTCCTTTTTCTATGAATTAGTTTGGCCTGTCATTGGTTTGGCTGCATGAAGCCCTGGCAGGGAACGTTGGTCAAAAGCTTTTTCGTCTCTGTGAAATGTGTGAATGGAGCTGATTGGTCACAGTGTGAGAAAACTGACTCACGGATGGACTTGGAAGTCAAAAATAGTCAACGTACATCTGCGTCACAGCGAGCTTGCTCAATGAGGGAAAAGAGCGGAAAAAAATAAAGGATACATCCTGGACTCAAATGTGCATTTACAATTTGTCCGAGGGCTCTCCGTCGGTTTTGACGTCATGAATGGTGTCCAAACTGATGCACTGTAAAATTGTACTCAATGTGATGAATTAATCTGTGCTTTTTATGGCTTTTACAGTGATGACAAGTACTCTTTCTCATGTTGTGCTATCTAATCATATGAATGGCAGACTTTACAAGTTGTGGACCTATAGTCCATTATAATACCCACACAATAATGCTGTGTGTTTAAAATTTTGCAAAGACTACAAATTGAACAACTTTGCACAGTCATCATGTAAATAAACTACTCGTAGCATGTGAATCATCATCGATGTGATGTAAAAGCTGACATCAGAAGCTAAAACATGCTTAATGGACTGCTGTTTGTTTCTAATGTGCTGCAAACAGACTGTTTGTGTAAAATATGTAGAAATTCACCCGAACAGCTAAAAAATATTTATTTCTAGTTTCCTGGCTGCTACATGTACATTCTGGAATAAAACAAACAAACAAAAAAAGAATACATCTATAATATGAAAAAGGATGCATAGCTTTTTTTCTATTTATGATCTCTGTGTGCTCTCTCTAAATCTACTGTACTTTGGTCTGCCTGCTCTCATTTGTGCAGGACGTGTATTGATCCTGTCTGTGAAGCTGTCAAAATTAAAGGAAGTTTAATAAAGTAAAACTATTTTTTTTCTTGAAATGAAATTCTCGCACTGCTCTCTAGTTTTAATTAAAAATCACCCTGACAATGAGAAATACTACATATGTGCACCACCATTTTGACTCGGCATCTTCGCTTACTTGTTCTAGACTTTGGGAGATTGCTACAGTCATTATTTTTAATTTTTTATATTGCGAGTTAGCAGCGCCACACAGAGGACAAAGAGTGGTACTATGGTTGGTAATATCCTCCATTTAAATTTGTAAGCGAAAAACAAAATGTGGAAAAGCATAATAATAATAATAATAATAATAATAATAATAATAATAATAATAATAATAATAATAATAATAATAATAATAATTATTATTATTATTATTAATAATAATAATAATAATAATAATAATAATAATAATAATAATAATAATAAATAATATGCTATTTTTTTTTTTTTTTTTTTTTTTGTCTTCGTCTTCCATTCCTTGAAATTTTACATGGCGGTTTTGACTATTGCCTTTTTAAAATTAGCTTGTATATCGGAATATAAATTGTTAACCTGCAAAATAAAAAAAACTGGATGGAAGAAACAATTAGAACTTTAAAGGGCGGTGTTGAGTATGTCATGATCATGTGATTCTTCTTACGTCATCCCAGACTCTTCCGGGTTATTTCTTTAGGTTAAACTGTGGACTTCGCTGGTTTGGTGACACTTTTAGCTATAGTACCGCCGAGATGAATCGTATCTTTGGCCGAGGGAAAGCCACAGGGCCCCCACCAAACCTAACGGACTGCATAGGAAGTGTAAGTAAAATCTTGTTATTAAACTTCCTCAACGGGGAATTTTACTAAGTAACCAAAAACCAACATGGATACCTGCTAACAGACTGTTAGCTAACTTTAGAAGCTTGTAACTACAATTAGTATTTACACTATAGCTGTTTTTATTATGAGATGGTATCGTCATACATTTTATATTATAGATTTATTGAATATAAACGACTGATTGTTTACCTGGCGGTGTTTTTTTTCGATCTGTTACCTTGTAAACAAGACGTGAAAACAAAACTTTCTATTGTTTTCTATTCGGGTAGTGACTCAGCGTTATATAATGGCATGATTGGGCAGTATTGTTTTTCAGCTAAATTAGAAAAAAAATACTTTTTTTTTTCAAAACTATGTAAAATAAACAAGTTAAACCGGTCGGTTGTGTATATGCTATATTATTAGCTGAGAGGAGCGGAAGAAGAAACTACTGTTACGTTAGCCGAATGTAGTAGGTTTTTACTTATTTATAACCCTTTATGTAGGTCAGAATGTTTTGCTTGGAGTTTGTTTTGTAATATTACCCTCTGTTACTCTAATATTCTACTCTGTTTTTTTGTTTTTCATGTAGGTTGACTCCAGGGCGGAGTCCATTGACAAGAAAATCGCCAGACTAGATGCTGAACTTGCCAAGTACAAGGATCAGATGAAGAAGATGAGAGATGGGCCTTCAAAGGTGAGGTCACCTGTGTGAGGCTGCTGTAAAAGAATGAAGGGGATTTTTTTTTTTCTTTCTCACAACTGCATAAAAAGAACAAGTAGATCCACACAGATTACACCGGAGGTATGACTAATGCACGAATATGTAGGAATGTCTATTAGCAGATGACTGCATGTTTTAAATAAGTCTTTGAAATTAATGCATTTTTAAAAAATGTAAATAAAGGTGCTTTTTTATTTATTATTTTTCCAGTAGCTGTGCTCACAAACTTTTCTCAAAAGAGTTTAAGGACAAATGATTCCATTTGAAAGCCCCATTACATTATAACAGGATCGTGCATAAATGTTGGAAATTTAACCTAAGTTCTGTGAAAATGTACAGCAATCATTTTTTACTGAGCCCATGAAAGGCTCTGACTTTAAAGAGAATATTTATCTTAAAATGTGTAATTTTTTTCAGTGGTTAAAAAGTATCAGTTAATTAACTTGTACTAGTCTTTTAAGCTTAGTTTGTTGAGGAATAAAACAAAACTGCCAAAAGTGATAATGGTAAAGCATATTTATGCTATAATTCCTATATGAGATTAAAAATTAGCACTTAAAATAAATGAAAGCTGAATGTTAGCCACTGATATTGTTTGTGTCATCATTGTGCCTCTTGTTGATTTAGTAGAAATGTTTGCAAATTCAGCCAAGGGTCATAAGTCTCTTCCACAGTAAAATCACAAAGTTTTACACACAAATATATATCAGTGTTTGTCAAAAGTTCTCAAAGATAATCAGAAATCAGTGTTGCAGAAAACAGAAAATGTGTGAAACATCTTTACACTGCCTTTCACACTAAAACTATAATTTTTGTTGTCTACTTACTAGAAACAGGCAGATATGGACTTAAGTTTATTATAATATGTTGTGCTATTTATACCAATAACCATAAAAGTGACTATTAAAGTACTTTTAAGCATGGAGAGGTTCCTCAAAGCCCCACAAACACAAATAATGCTCTTCAATTCGTGAGTATAGATCTAAAGGAGCAACTTACTGATTATTCAATAAGTTGTTTGGGACAACAGTTTTATGCTAAACGGTACACAAACAGAAAAATATTTATTCCTACGCCCACAGAACCAACTGGAGGTGGGGGGGAGTAGAAAACCTGACTGTACTCATAGTTTTTGGGATATGTAAAGGGATATGTCAGAATTTTCATTACCACTAAAGAATGTTACCAGTAATGATAAACTGAGTGGTAATTGCCCAATCCCACTACTTACACCATAATATTCTGTCAACATAACTTCATGAGTTTTTTTTTCTGCTCTGTAGAACATGGTGAAGCAAAAGGCCATGAGAGTTCTGAAGCAGAAGAGAATGTAAGTCATTTCATCAATCTTGTATTTTTTTGTAGTATTAATATATAAATTAGAGCTGCACTGTTGCCTTGCAGCAGGAAGGTCCTGGGTTATAACCCTGACCTGCAGTCTTTCTGCATGTAGTTTGAATGTTCTCCATATGCATGTGTGGGTTCTCTCCAGGTACTACTATGTACATATAAATGACTCCTTTTAGGTTTTGAATGTTTTTTTTCTTTTTAGTTTAAGTTTTCTAATCTATTCACAGGTATGAGGGGCAGAGAGATAATCTCATGCAGCAGTCGTTCAACATGGAACAAGCAAACTACACGATCCAGAACCTGAAAGACACTAAAACCACAGTAAGACATGTGGGAATTTAGAAGGGAATTGATGGGAAAATATATTTATTTTCTTGGTTTTTACTAACGCCACAATTCTCTTCAGGTTGATGCCATGAAAGTCGGCCTCAAAGACATGAAGAAAGCGTACAAGAACGTGAAAATCGATAAGATCGAGGTGTGTATGTTTGTTTGGTCAGTGAGTAGTTACTGAAATAAAAAAAGCCTTAAATTACGGTAAATAACTTCAAACAAGCTCACGTTTGTTTGTGCTTTTATTCTAAATTAATAAAGTGAAATTTAGAGTTGTGTTTCTAATTGTACTATTTAATATGAAGGATATCCAAGATCAGCTGGAGGACATGATGGAGGATGCAAATGAGATCCAGGAGGCGATGAGCAGGAGCTACGGCACTCCGGACATCGATGAGGACGACTTGGAAGCAGGTGAGGCAAAAAAAAATACTGTAAATTTTAATATCACACTTTCAGTAAAACTATGAAAACTGTTACTAATCTGATTAATGATCAAATTGTAAATATTTCACTGGTACAGAACACAGTCCAGAGCTCCCTTTGTCTGGAGTTTGAAGTATTTTTTTAGGTCAAGTATAAGCAAAGAAGATTAGGAACTATTTGTACTTCTAAAACATATCCCTTTTTTTGTTGTTTTAACATTGTGTCCATATAATTTATCCAAAATTGTTCTCTTGTTCATCCATGATTTAAATTTTTCATAAACTGTTGACATTTGTACCAATCTGAAGTTTGGATCCTGAGCCACACAATCATTCCAAGGGCAGCAAAAGGCCCCCAGGCCTTGTTTGTCGGACCGTCCGTCCACTTATTTAAATAACCAAACTGAATCTGGGATGGGTAGATGGATTTGCAGGAATCCTGGATGTTAAGAGTTCTAACTAAAGGATTTGACATGGAATATAAACTCTCCCATGCGAGAGCCTTAGTGTAATAAATCCTATTTTGATGCGATTGACCATTTGATGTGTTTTGTGTCTTCAGAGCTGGACGCCCTGGGAGACGAGCTCCTGATGGACGACGACAACTCCTACCTGGACGAGGCTGCGACTGCTCCCTCCATCCCAGAGGGTATCCCTGGAGACAGATCCACCAACAGGGTACCAGATAGCTTCTGGATTTGCTTCTTAAGTTCATGTGAAACATTGTTTACACTCTTTATTAAAAGGAGATATCTTTTTTTGTTGTTGTTGTTCCAGGATGGCGTTCTGGTAGACGAGTTCGGCCTTCCTCAGATTCCTGCTTCTTAAAGGAGTAATTTGATCAAACGATGTGCAAGTTTTACATGCATCATATTATTCTTTCCCCCTTTTTTTTCTGTATTTATCCAACTGACGCTCCAGGTCTTTGGAGACAGCAATGAAAACCAAAACATCTTATGACCGATGAATGATAGAATAGGAAGTTCCAATCAGGCTCTTTTAAAGTTTATGATCATGTTTCTTTAACTGGACTCACTTTAGTTTGTCTGAATGGTTGGAAAAGGGTTTCTCTTAACGTTGTACAGTTTCCGAAGTTACAAACGCAATAAATTATATTTTTCAAGTGGAACCAAACTGTGTTGCTGAGGTCTTTCAAAAAAAAAAAAAGATCCATTGTACAAAAAAGGCCACTTTAATGATAGGTTAAATATGTCACAATTAACATATCTTCAAGACATTGCTTTTTTTGGCAGGGATTGTAGTTAGCGAAAATAAATATGCATTTGTTTAAGCAAATGTTCTTCTCGTCACCAGCTCAGTCTGAATGTGTGAGGGAAGATTTTCTGGTGAAGATACTCCACCACTTTGCTCATGTTGCGATATTTCTCAAACTCGTAAAAAGGAATCTGAAAAAATAAAGACAAGTTTAAAAACATAAGATTAGCAAGCAGTAATCTACGCAGATGAAGTGACTAATCATTTAGTGGCGAGGGTCTGACCTGCACAACTTCATAGCCCAGCAGCCGCAGATGTCTCTGCTTGATGACCTCTTTCCCAAGAAGCTGTCTTACATTATTTGTGAACCTCTTCTGTCCGTCGATACAAAGAGCTATCCTGGAATAGATTGTTTCATCAATTATTTGTCGACGGTTTTATTATTGCAAATTTATCTGAAAGGTGTGGCTTGCTATTTCAGAAAGGTGAGTTCTTTAGATATGCAAATCCGGTAGATTTGCAGTAAGTAGGAAAAGTAAAAGATGGTTTTTGAAGATGCTTATTAGAAGGGGAGGAGCATAAATGTCCGCCACACTTTTCAGATTTATTTTCAAAACTCTCTTTTTCTCGCACTTCTAGATCATGCACAACTTCTTGTTGTTCAATAAAATACACTTAAATTTGTGCTTGTAACATGACAAAATGTGGAAACATTTAAGGAGTTTAAAACATTTACCTCTTGTACACTTCATCAGTCTGGCTGGCAGGCAGAGCGTATCCCTCCTCATCGAGCTTTATCTCCACATCTACGACAATAATGGGTTAGTTGACTGCAAGATAAACCTTGGGAAACACATGAACAAAAAAAAAAAACCCCAGGATACCCAGCGTGTAGCAGTACGGCGTGAGAACTTGAGATCCGAAGAACGATCGGTCTCCGAGTATATCCACCAGCCCCGATTTGACCGAGTTATACAGCTGCTGATCAACCGGCGTCTCCAGGGAGCGACTGGACGTGAGGAAGGACTTTACGCGGTACTTTGGAAGGAGCTGAGGACCCTGATGTTGGGATTTAAAAAAGTAATTTAAAAAATAATGAAAATATGACCACAAATAAATAGAATTAAGGAATTCAAGGCTTTGAGTGAGTCACTACAGAGTATATTTTAGCTAAATGGATGGTTTAGGTTTTTAGAACAAAAGTATTTAATTGAGTGAAATCACAACTGCACATTACGCCAAGATGCAATATTTAGCATGTAGTAGATTTCCAACACATATAGATTTCAATAAATGTATAGATCTTAATGAGCAAGATCAGAAATGCGAATGTGACAAAGGGAAAGACAATAGTGTGGAAAATGCAATTCCAAAATGCAGTTACATTGTTGTACAACAATGTGTATTATCAAATTATTTACCCAATTTAAGTGATATAGTTGAATCATGGTTATATAAGTTTCACTAAATAGTAAACAGTTAAGGACATATGCAAAATTCATGAGCGCACGGCGCCCTGCAGACTTTTCCAATCAACTTTCTGCTCTTAACATTCACTTTAAAATCTAAAACACTACAGTTTGCCATGCACTTATGGCAGACGTTACAGCAGAAAGGCATCTTAAACCTGTACTCCATAAACTATTTAAGCAATAGTAGAAATAATTGTTGCTCTTCCACCTTTTACAAAAGCAATCAGACCATTATATAGTTTTCTTAAGTTTTCTATTGAATCTTTACCAAAAAAAAGTATTGATGCTGTATTTTGTTTCATTGTGAAATTATGTTTGATTATTAAAATCCCACAATGTTGCATTATAGCTAATTAATGCAATATTAATTAGCTGTGCCCCATTTATTTTATGAAGACAACAAAGACCTGAACCTCTAACACTGCTGCTAATCTGCTGGGTGTGTATTCAGGTTTCTGTCACGGTTCGTTCTCGTTTGGCTCTCCAAGTATTTAACCGTCTGCAGTGTTTACCTCGTAGGTGGGACACTCCAGCTTCACGGTCATGTAGAGCTGAGTCAGCTGCGCCAGAACCGCCCGTTCAATCCTCGGGTCCTGATCTGAGGCACAGAAACATGTTTGGTTTCATCAAGAATTCAGAGGAGAACTGCTTAAGAAATTTTAAAAAAATCATTAAAACATATTTATTTCTATAATTCAATTTAGAAAATGAACCTCATATTGTGCAGTCAGTTCACATTGAATGAAAAGTTTCAACCGTATTTCGTTCAGAGATTCCCTGACAGTGTATGTTTCACCTTGTAGCTGCTGCAGGAAATAACTGCTGAAGACTTTAGAGAGAAAGTTGACGGGGAACCTCTCGACCAGGGTGCAGGCGTGCAGCAGGTTGAGCAGCATCCGAGGCTGGAACTGAGAAAAACGAGTGTGCAGGATGGTTTCCACCTTCTTGAACATCTGGCCGACGTTGGGTGGAAGGTAGCCCAGCCTCCCAAAGGCCATGATCTGCCTGGCAACCTGGCTGGTGCTGTAGCTGTCCGCCCGGTACACGAAGCTCTCGGCGACGGCATTGAGGACCGTCGGGGACAGGATGTTCCTGCGGCTGAAGAACTCCGTCACCTTGGATACGGTCTCCGGATGAGAGGTGAAGGCCATTCTAGGGCCGTAATTCTGCATCGCGTCCACAAAGTAGCGGTCACTGTGGCCGAAGTGGATCAGAGCGGCCAAGACGTGGCTGAGCTCTTCGTCGCTGAAGTGAGGTACGTGTCGCACGGCCTGCTTACACAGGCTGATCACCAGAGGCAAGGCTTGCCTCTGGTTCAGAGCGACGAGCGAACTCAGCACTCCGCTGACCGCGGCCGGGTCCATCCTGGAGGTGACCGTCACCGCGTGGGTGTGCATGGCGTTCAACAAGTCGCCGTGCTTCCCGTCTTCACCCACACACACTTCCAAAAGTCTGTAAACGGCTACGAGATCCGGGAGGCTCCACTTGTCAGGCTCCTGCTTCTGGATCTGTCCTATCACCTGCTCCAGCATGGCGGACCCCGGACCCTCCATGGCCAGCATGGCCTGGCCCAGCACGCACAGCTCCCCCACCGCCATTTGCTCCCCGTCGAGCCGTTTCTGGCTCTCTGTCACCAGGCGCACCATCAGCGTGCTCCAGGGATCCAGAAACAGGCGGGTGCAGGCGAGCAGCGCCGACACCAGCCCTGCTTCCGTCAGCCGCTCCGAGTCCCGCTCCAGCTGGAAGCAGAGGGCCCGGATGGCGTCCTTCTCCAGCACCGACGGGTCTCTCAGCGCGCCGCCGTCCTGCTCCAGGTCAGCCACGCGGTGGAGACAGGCGGCTGCCATGGTGTCAGACAGGACCTCCACCGAGCACAGCAGGCTGAAGACCTGCCGGGAGGTGGAGCAGCATGCCAGCTTCTGCTGGAAGCTCTTCTCTTCGTCAGACGAGGGTCGGTGCAGCTGGGTCAGACGGAACCTGAGCTCAGAGTCTCTGTGGATTCCCACAGAGCTGCTGGCGAAAAACGACGGCTCCCTGACTGCGGTGGTCACATTTCTCGAGCTGAAGTCCGTCCGGAGTTTCCTGCAGCCGTGAGTCTGGATGCAGCGGGCGGCTGACGTACAGAGACAGGCAGCGCAGGAGGAACGGCCCAAACCACTGCTGCAAAGGAGCCTGACCGATATGAGTCCAGCAAAGCAATGATGGATGCCGAACTGCAGGAGTGGAAGGTTCTGAGTAAGTTTCAGGGCCATGAGTCTGTTTCTGAACTTCCCCGATGTCAGCTGGAGCAAGAAAAAGGACATTTAAATAACAGGTAGGGCTGGGAAATATAGCTTAAAATTAAAATCTCTGATTTTTTCTTTCACACCAGATCCGATTTCTGATTTGACAAGGGTTTTTATTCTCACTTTCTTTTCTAAAAATAAATTACAAATCAAATCAAAAAGTGACTTTGATTTCAGTCATTTTTGTTTAATTACAAGAATGTAATCATAGTATTAACAGGATGTCATTTTAATTTACCTAAAATTACAAGAAAATCTTTTTTAATGAGAACAAAGCTTCGACAGAGTTATCAAGACCCGATGTGAACAACTCAGTCTGAGTGGTTTTTCCAAAAATTCAATCTTCAAATACCAAAAATGTGATTACTCAAGCAAATCGGTTTATCACAGAGCCCTACAAATAGGTGGAAAACTCAAATGCAACAGAAATAAACGCAGAACCTGCCCAAGCCATGAGCAAACTCAGCAGCTATAGACCTCCAAAAATACTAAAACTATCACAAAAGTTAAGTTTGTTTGCGAGTAATATATTGGTGGTAATCGTCCCACCTCTACCTCTACTCTACAACTACTGTTCCTCTTCAGGAACTACTTCGATACATATAGAAAGCTGATATTTATGTGCTGTAGTAAACAATAATAGTTTTTATAGATGGGTAGGCTGCATACAAATTTAAACATGACTGATGTAGAGACGATATTAGTTCAGTAAGTGGAGGATCCAACAAATGTAATTATTTTAGGGTCACTTTCAGTCTTGGATAAAAATAATCTAAAGAAAACAGCTAGGATTCCTTTAATTCTCAACTCTTCCTCTGCACCTCTTAACTAACCAACCTTGAGGGCTGCTGCTAGCTATATTAGCTAGGTTTAGCGTGTAAGTTTGCATCTCGTTTTAACAGTAGCCGGAATGCTATTGTTGCTACAAGTAAGTTGTAAGATATAAAGTTTTATTCCCACCAAGAAAAGTACAAGAAATTATGATAGAGAGCAAATAAATTCATACCTGAACCTCCCGAGAGCCGCTGAGGGTCAAACCGGTGCTGACTGCAGTGACGCTTAACAACGTTTTCCGGATGTTGTATTTACGTTCCCTCAGAAATAATAGTACTTTCGAAAATTAGATGAAGTTTATGAACTAAAGGTTAAATGAA